TTCCCCACTTCCCACTCCCCTGAAGACAGCCATGGCTTTGCCTGGATATTATCTCCTCATTTTGGGGGGCTGATCATTGAGGCTTTCCTGACTATATGCTCTACTCCCTCGTCAACAGCTGGATAAAGCTGGTTTAAGTGTCTCAGTGAGCAGCTGCGTCCACCCAGGTTTGCTCCCCATGGTAGAGGATTCTGGTGCTTATCCACATCTGTTGTTTTTTTTTTTTTCTCTCTTCTGAGCACACAGGATTATCATGCTTCCCCACCTCCATAGCAGTGGATACAGCCATGTGACAGGTTCTGGCCAATGGACTAGAAGCAGAGTGAAGTGTGTTCCTTCTAGACCAAAGAGCCTGCTTACCCACCCAGGAGACCCTCCTCCCCTGCCTCATCGATCCTGACAGCATGATGAAAGGAGACCTCCAAGGTCCAAGAATTGTGCTTTACTGAGTCACCCTTGGAAACCTTTGTCCTGGAATGTCACCCAGACCCGCCATGGACTTTGTGTGAGCAAGAGATATAAACTTGTGTTGTGTCACAGGATTGAGATTGGTGAGGTCTGTTATCGATGCATAGCCAAACCTCCCCTGGCTGATTCACTGATGAAAGGGGCCTGTTAAAATGAATGGATGGCTTGGCAAACTGTTCAGACCCATGCACATTTCTTACCGTGATCAAGATGTAGCATGTGCCTAGGGAGGCAGGGACTTCAGCAAGGTGGTGAACTCTGTTGTGTGGCCACACTGCAGGGCTGGGATTGGGGGCAGGGAGTGGATGCACGGGCAGGGTGTGTCATGGGAGAAAGGCTTTCTCTCATTTATGATTTGCCAAGGGCTTGCCCAGGGCCTGTTTACATATTTAATCTCTGATGAAAGGTTATAATGAATCTGGAGCTATTGGCAAGAGATGGACATTTCTCCTAGGTATTTAGTTCCTGTGGTTGTGAAAGAGGAATTTTTCTCCTGAATTTGCAGGATGTCTCTCTCTTTCTCTCTCTCTCTCATGCATATACACAAATGCACAGAGCTACTGCCAACCTCTCTGGGAATCTATAATACAATATTTTAATATCAATCTGATACTAGCTGGATTCAGGCCCCTGCTTCATTATCTCTCCATCTTTGAGAGTGGTTGAAGAAAATCACAATATGGCTTTGTTTCATAAGCAAGAATCTGCTAACCAGTCACCAGATGGGGGTGTTCCCTTGAAGGTCTGCCTGCCTGCAGAGTTCCCAGAGCCTTCTCTTTTCATAACCTTATCCTCTTTGTCCCCTTTCTCCATGACTCTCCCTTAACTCCTTGTGCAGCAGGGCCGAATGGGCCCTATTTAATGAATAGTCATAATGTTCTTGTGCTGCACGAATAGGAAGTGGGTGGTTTCCCCCCCTCTGTTTCCTATCGAACAGTGCCCTAGAGATTCCTCCAGCTCCCTCCCATGGGTCAGTGAACTTCAAGGGAAAAAGAGGCATTTTTTCTTATTTAAGTGCACCCCTCAACTTCAGAATGACTCAGTAGGGGAGATGAGGTTGCAACACGCAGAGAGAGCTGGACAGCTTGGTTTGAGTCCGGCACTGGCAAGCTATTATTTGTGTGAAGTGGGTCACAGTGGTTATGTCCTTGATTATAGATTCCTCATATTTAAATGGGGCCTTAAGACCAGACAGGCTGGTCTCCATCATGAACGAGGCTACGGTGAGGATCCTCCAGAGAGGGCTTTGGACCAAAGGATAATTGATGAAGATATGACATTTGGTTCTCACTGTATTTTTTCCTCTCTTATTCCAGGAAGTGTCAAAGAAGGACAGAGAAAAAAAAAAGAAGAAGAAGAAGAAGAAGAAGAAGAAGAAGAAGAAGAAGATGCCCCTGTAGACCCTTCCTTTCATCCCTCTTTTGTTCATCCCACGTGGGGCTGGACTATGTAGGGAGCAGACAGATGGAGTGGAACAGGAGAGTGGGGCTTCCTAGGACTGGGCAGGGGAGGGAGAAGTGGGGAGAGGGTCTAGCTGTGGGTGTGCCCAGGGAGTGACCCTAGCCCTGGGTCAGCTTCTGCAGGGTTTCCAGACTCAGTGGAGAAGCAGGACCATGAGGAGGCCTCAGACTGGGAAGGAACCAAAGACCTACAGTGGCCTTCTTAAATACCTAGGACCTTGGGATGGCTCTGGGAGCTAGTCCCAAGCATAGTTGATATTGAACTTCCAGCCAGTCAGCAGGATGGGGGTTGGACATCCGGCTCAACTGATTTAAAGAGATAATTACAACAAGCTTGTGGACAGAGAGTCCCTCTCTCAGGACTGACAGGAGCCTGATCTAAATGTGAGCTCTTTTTTAGGCCTGCTTGTTCCTAGTTGCAGCCATCTAGGAAATGGGACTCCCTGGTGTCCCTTCACCCTGTCATCCTTCACACATATTTAAATTTACCAAAGGCCTATCCGACTATACGTTTTTCAGTGGACAAGACTCAGATGCACTGGTGATCCCAGACACAGGGTTTGAGGACCACCCACGTTGGCCTTGTGAGAGAGGCCAGTGAAAGTGCCATTGATGGGTCCCCCAGAGAACCACAGAAATAGTCTCTCAGGCTGTGTGGAGGGTGTTCAGGACCCACATTTTAACAACACCCTCTATAAGCGTCATACACCCAAGGAATTTTTTTGTTAAGTTTTGGTCTAGGAGTAAAATGAAAGTGATACCATTATATTTTCTGCTAGCATTTGAGAGGAGAGATTTGCTGGGCAGTAGGAAGTGATCAGTTGTGATTATAATATTAATTCTGTCCTGTGTCACAGACATAGCTGTTCATGTCCAACCCCACTTCTGGGTCTAAACTCAAGGGCAGGTTAGGCCTCTCCAGGGCCTGGTACCACGGACCTTTAACAGTTTTCTGCAGAACTTCACTGGTACCTGCTCAGGACCAACTGACAGGTTGAGAACAGCAGGACCTTCAATGCCACTGGCCATGGGTTCAGAGGGCCCAGGCATGGATACTTCCTCTGTCTAGAAGGTGCAGGTTCTGTCTGTTCTCGGATAGATGCATGTGACAGCACAAATTCATGACCAAGTTACATCACTAGTAAAATTATGATATATTCATAGCAATATAATAGAATAAAGGATTAGGAGGGCAACCGATCTTCTAGAACCTGAAGGTTGACATTCATTGTTCATGAGCTCAGGTGAAGGCAGCACCTTGGGAATTTGGTTAAATTGTAGTGAGAAAGACCAGGGTTAGTTGGAGGAAACCGTTTTCCCAAGCAGAATCATTGCAAATGCTGAAACCGGCCCCTGAGGTTGCCTGGAGCCTCCTTTCCTGAGTGAGATCTGTGGAAATAAGGCTGGTGGCATTGGAAAGAGGGCTGTCTGTTATAGTGGCTCCCAGAAGACTTGAGTCTCACAGCAGTTGGGCCACTGACACAAACTGCTGACATGAGACCTTTCCAAAGGTGGCCTCCACTATCCTGCTGGAAGAGGGGGGTCTTCCAAGAGGAGCAGCACCAAGGGTCATGCATGGCAATGACCAATGCCCAGCTGCTCCAGGGGACACAGTGAGCCAGGTCTCCGTCACACAAAGGACAAGGTGCAAGAGTCAGTCTGGAGGGGCCGTGGATGGCACCAATGGTCAGGTCAGTATCCTTCTTACTGATCTTAGGTCCTTGCTGTTCTTGACAAGCATGTGTGTCCCCTACATGCGTTGTCCACACTGCCCATGAAGCACACACTCTGGGAGGGGGTCCTGGTGTACATGGAGGGAGGTGAGGTAAGATCTGAGGGAAGCTCCCTGGAGAACCATGTACTGGCACTGCCCAGCACAACGTCGGTCTCCAATAAATAGAGTAACCGATGAAGGCCTCCTCCGTTGGCCTCTACCTCTGACCTCCATCACGTAGCAGCAGCATCTCCCAGCCCAGGCCCACAGAGGGCGCTCGCTCCTCTGGAGTTAGTGAGAAGAGGCTGAGAGGATGTGGAGGATTATAAGCAGGTCTGAAACAAGGAAAGTCAACCTTGTCTGCTTCGGTTTTGTGCCTGCAGCTTGCCGTTCAGGTGGGGTGACAGTTGACATCCACTCTGCTGCCATCTCAGAGTGTCTCTCTCCACTCCTCGGCCACGGGCTGAAGTCCAGATGGGGAAGTCCATGTGAAATCACTTCTTCTCCTCCCAGGCAAGTGTAGGGAGGGCCTTCCTGTTACTCTGAGATGAGGGGAATCTCGTCCCCACTCTGAGATTGAGACCATGACATTTCAGGCCTTCAGCGTGTGTGACTTTCTTTGCTTGAAATGTAACCCCAGAAAGACAGAGATAAACACATGCAGGTCCAGGGACACAAAGGGTTCAATGTGAGAAGCATTGGGAGGACCCATCCTCAAAGCATATTCTGCCTGCTCTGGTGCCAGAGTGCGGGCACTGGAGAGGGATTGTGCTTCCCAACATGGCAGCCTCCAAAATGGCCTCTGTGGCAGGAAGTGAGGATAAAGGGAGCCAGCCCCTTCTGGTTCTATAATATGCTGAATACAAATGTGGAGGAGGTTATAGCTTCTCCCTCCCCTAGCCTAACTCGGGTTATTAATAACTCAGCCACTCTCTCCTTCCTTCCGTTCTGCTTCTCTGTGGGGTGTGGGCAGTCAGAGGAGAGTCAGACTGCTTAGGCACACCCCACCCTCAGGGCTGGTGAGGGGCAGGGACTGCCTAAGTGGGCATCCTTGTTGGAGGACCCATTGCTAAGGAGAACCTGGGCATGTGGGGGCTCCTTCCAGGGAACCAGGGGGAGAATGGATCCTCCATCTCTGTGCCTACCTGGTGATCCTACCCAGCCCAGGTATATATGTCAGCTCTTAGAAGCCATGGGAGAGGCTTTGGGAGGAGGAGACAGGGAAGGCAAATAGTGGCTGGTGTTTTCTTTCTTATTTAAAAAACAAAAAGGCAAAGATATGTTAACATTAGTAAAGGCAGGTAGGGGTGGAGGAGGCAGGGTCCACTCTGGAAGAGGGCGGTGGTCCGGGCCGAAGGTCAGACAAGGCCCGCAGCCTTCTCCTGCACATTGTACTCCCTGTTCTTCTTTACCCTCCAGCTGATGAAGAAGAGCAGCAGCGTGCCCAGCGCCTTGTAGCCCACCTGCAGGCCCAGGTAGCTGTGGGACAGGAGGAGACAGGAGTAGTGAGGGAGAGGGCCACCCAGAAAAGGAGCATCATTCTCACAGTGGCTCAGGGAATGTGTCAGTACCACCCAGGGCCGCGGGGACAGGGGCATCACTTTCCTTATTCTTTTGATCTGAGAGGACATACACCTCCCAGGAGGTAGGAAGGGAGTAGATATGGGACTCCAGTGATCCTCAGTCCACTGGAGCCCCCAGAGGGTGACGCTGCCATGCCAGCCAATCCCAGGGAGTCCTCCTCCCAGCAGTCAAAAGGAGAGGGCATCTTCTCACTGCCTTTTGCTCTGCCCCTCTCACAGAGTTTCCAGGTAAGGTAGCTGACCACACTGTAGCTGGGCTGGGCTTATTGGAACCCACCACCCCGGATCTCTGCTAGGAGTTTCTCTCCCTTTCCATAGCCACAGTCTCTCCCTTTAACCAACTTCTTTCTATTACTGCCTGCCCCTCCCTACCCCTCAAGGGCCTGTGGGGTCAGCATACTAGGGGACTATGGTTTCCACAGCTCCCTACAGGCCCTGAAATGCCTGTCACAGTGACCCTGCTCCCTTTCCATGGCAGGACCTACAGAGTGGCCCCTCAGAAGCCTGACAAGCCTCCAGCACAGTCGCCAGACCAATGACCATTCTTCGCTCTTTGCCTAGCCTTCTGGATGCACACGCAGGCAGGGCCCTCACCTGTCCCGGAGAGCGTCATTGTCATAGTAGACACAGGCCCCTCGCCTCCCTGAGCACTGGTAGTTCCACCGGATGCAGGAGTAGTCAATGGTGAGGCCATAGAGGGCTGGAGACGGCAGCCAGGCTGGCAGCAGCGGGGAGGAGAGTTCAGAGAGCCCAGGTCAGGTGGAGCCACAAGCAGAGGTGCCAGCAGGGTGGGGCGCTAAGCCCACTTGAAGGTTCACACAGGTGAACAGCTCTGCCTGCCCCACCCATGGGGACCACAGTGGCTTTGAAAAGCAGAATAGCTATCAGCGAAGCCTGAATTTCTCTTTCACCAGAAGGCTTAGGAGATAAAAGGAACCCAGGCCATCCTTTCTGGGCAGAATGAATCATAGGGTCACCTTGATGCCAGCTCAGACATACAACATAGTTCTCATGCCCGAGGTTGGCCCTAGGTAAAGACGTGGACTCCCCAGGTCCTCACATAGTCTCATGAAATAAGGGAAGGTGAGCTTGGTCAGTTCACTGTTCCAGGACCAAAGGGGCTCAGGACTGGACTCTTGAATCCCTGTTTACCAAGGTTCAAATCCCATGTTCTTTCTCCATGACTTTACATTGTCCTATTGGGTCAGACAGGGTCCCTGGAAGACCTGCCACACCACGTCCCCAGCAGCTGCATTTTGGATGCCCACCCTCACCCCACCCCCACTCTGTACCATTAGGTCAAATGCAAGCAGCCACTGGCCTGGGAGGGGAAAGAAAGAGGTGGTATGTACTTGGGGCCCCACCCATGAGTGGGAAACTTCTAGAAGTGATCTCTCTAATTAGAACCTGCTCACTACCCAGTCTCCAGGGAAACAGGGAGAGAGAATCTGCCCCCAAAGATTGACCTCCAGCGATCCTTTCCTAAATAGAAATGAAATCCCGAAAAAATGTTCAAACAAATCCCAGTGGGTAATTATAAACCTACTGCAGTTTACAAATAGGGAGTCTTTTGGTCTATCCCAGAGTGGAACTATATTCTCCAGCGATGAATGGAATCTCTCCTGGTCTGGGTTTGCTAACCATGGCTCTGTATCGAGTTTTCTGAGCTCAGATGGAAAAACTAAAGCAGCAAAGGCTTTGAGCAGTGGGAGAGAGTGGTCATTTTTCTTTTCTTGCTTGGTGGTATACCGGAGATTGAATCCAGAGGGGCTCAACCATTGAGCCATGTCCCCAGTCCTTTTTATTCATTTTTTAAATTTTGAGATACCATCTCACTAAGTTGCCCAGGCTGACCTCAAAATTTGCCATCTTCCTGCCTCAGCCTCTGTAATCACTGGGATTATAGGCATAGATCACTGTACCCAGCAAGAGAAGCTATTTTAAAGGTCACTGAAAGAATCAGGGCAGGGCTCATAGGAGCCCGTCCCAGCAGCTGGTTGGCTGGAAGGAATCAAGGTCTCCCTCCCAGCAGAGACCATAGAGCCTTGGCCAGGAGGACAGGGCACCCTGTGTCTTGCGTCTTTATAATACAGGTCACAGGGCCTGGAGGGACTCCACAAGGACAAGAGGAACCAGTGGTATGAGACATGAGGTCAAGAAATCCCACTGAAAAAGCTGGTTCATTTCTCATCAGTATCTCCAGCTGGGCTGGATTCCTGCAAAGGCTCCTGCTCAGCCCACCCCAAAAAGGACACGGCCAATGCCCAGTGGCGGCCACTGCAGGGTGAGGTCTGGACCTGGCCCCCAGGGCTAACATGCAGAGGGGACTGCACAGTGTCACACCTTGATAGCAATGAAGTCTCCCTCTTTGGAATCTCCACGTTCCCCCCTGCAGTTTCCACCCACCGGGTCCTTAATAGATACATCCTCAGTTGAAGGGACCCTCAGTCCCTTTCCTTCTATTTACCTGTATCTCCAGGGTCCCACTTGTGTGCCTTGTGTTAATCTAGTGCATGGATGTGTCAAAAAGGGGCAGCCCAGTGTGAGCAGTCCAGGAAAGAATCTCACTCGGGGAGAGTTGAGTACCCCCGCTCCCTGTGGGCAGCTTGCCCTCCCTGTAGGGCACTGTTGATCACTTGTACACAGCTGGATTCCTCCAGGGGGCTCTGGGGCTGTTGGACAGGCAGGGTTCACAGGCAAAAGACCCCGCACAGAAGAAACATTGGCTGAACAGAAGTAGGAGGAGGGACTTTTTAAAATGGGAAGAAAGCCAGGGCTGGGTTCAGCTGCTGTTTGATGAAGGGCAGGAATGTAAGGTTTTTGTTCCTACGACAAATTCTTGGAGAAAGGTTTAAAAATACCTGCTGTTAACTCTCCAGGAGGTATTCTCAGCTGTGTCCATTTTTCCTTTTTCTTATATAATTTGGTTTGGAATTCATGCCATGGATGGAATCTTTCCTAACCTCAAGCAATCAGGGGAACGTCCATGTGGGGTTTGGCCATCTGCTGTTAATTATGCACAGTTTCTGTGTGCACTGGAGATGAGATGGGCTACCCCCAATCTTTCCCCACTCCCCATAACCCCTGAAAGCCCACAGCCCAGGTCCACTACTCAGAAAGGGGGCTGTAAGATACTCACCCAGCAAGCGCATCAGCAAGAACTGTACCCCGATGGCAAATGACTTTTCTTCCTGGTTCACCACACTGAAAAGGCAGACAGATTAGTAGTGCAAAGATTCGGGGCCGCACCATGCCCCGGTCAGAGGCGCAATTATCCTCAGAGTGGGTCCAAAGCTGCCCTCATGTGGCCCGAGAAGGCATCTGGCCAACTGGATTCACCTGGGCTGAGTGTCCTGCTGTTATACTGGTGGTTCTCAGAGCATATCCCTAGATCAGCACTTGTTAGAAATGCAGGTTCTTTGGCTCCAGGGCTAGTGTATGGATATGCCCAGAAGAGACAGAGACTTGGGGGAAGGGGAGAGAGATCTGTGCTTTCACAAATCCTCCAAGAGATTCCAATGCAAGCTCACATCTGAGAATCGCTGGTCTAGGTGATTTTCAGGGATGCCCGCTTTAAGAGAATGGGAGCAGGAGAGACTAGGAGGGAAGAATTGGTGGCGGAGGATTTTACGGCAGCAGGTCTGAACAACTCCCAGAGAGTGTCTGATACCAGGAAAAGACAGCCCTGGTATAATTGGGGCCCCTGGGCTGTTGGCTACTGTGCACAACTGAAAGAATTCTTTACCCCAGGCCAGCTTTGTGGGCGTGTGGCCTGCACTGCAGCACAGGAGTGCTCCACCCTCAGAGAGGCCCCTGCTTGTTCTAATGGTCGGCTGTGGCTGTCCTTAAATTACATTTTCACTTGCACTAGGTCCTGCAAATTAGATAGCTAGCCCTGTTCCCACCTGACTCCTTCCAGAGGGAAAGTGCATTTGGCTGAAGGAGGTTCAGAAAGAGGGTGGGTGGCCCTGCCATCCCAGTGGGGGGATGGAGCAGAGAGGAGCAGGACCTGGCCTCTGAGGCACCTGTCGACGGCTTGGGTTCTCTATGCGGTCAGTGCACACTCCTGGAGGGTGCTTGTTGGGAGAAAAGCATGGAGGGCTGAGGACATAGTGAGGAAGGGAATCTGCAAGGAATCCCACATCCCTCTACAGTTTGTTTTGATCCCACTACCAACGTTCTCCTAGCAAAGGGAAAGGGACCTCATTCCAGACCCCTGGAGGGATGGCCCAGGGAGGGGATACTTATTGGGGTATAGGCAGGAGAAAGAGGCACCATTGGGGATCCCCTCAATGGAAAATACCTCAAACCCTGATCTAATTTATGCTCCCTTTATCCTATAGAGCCCTAAATGGCCCAGTCCATAAGAGAGGCACCCTCTTGATCTTTGTCCCTACCCTGGCCAGACTCTCTCAGATTCTTAACTTATGAGACTTGGGAACCCCAGGTTGACTTTTGATTGAGATCCTGATGTCCCCCCTCTTACTCCTGCCCCATCTGGCCCTGAATCAGTGCTGGCTTTCTGACCACTCTTTCCTTCCACATTTCCCCCCAGCCTCTTTTCACATGCCTGGCTGGGGGCTAGGACTAAGAGAAATAATGCTCGGGGCACCTGTGGTCACCTTAAGTCTCACCTTCCTGACAGTAAGTAGCGTCCATTCTGTCTTCCTTCCCGGGGGGGGATTTATCTTTAAACCATCAGGGGATCCTCAGATCTCCTGTCTAGTTTTACCCTAGACCCTGACCAGGCTTGGAAAGGAGAGATTTTTCTAGAAAAGCTCATCTTGGGGTTGAAATAACGCTCTGTTCTCCATGACTTCCCCATTCCCTGAGGTGTGGGGAAGAAGTCCTCAGGGTGATGATTTGATGGGGATTGTCCTCTCTCCCTTGAACTTGTGAGATTTCCTTACCCCGTCTCTCTCCTCCTCAGGGCCTCGTGTAGATTTATCCCAGGGTCGGAGAATCTACTAGGGTCCATCTGACCCAGAGTGCTAGAAGGGACTCCTACTGAGGTGCCTTAGATGAAGGCATCAGTGCTTGGAGCACAGGATGGGGAGCAGTAGAGAAGAGGGTGAGAGTGGCGTTGGTGGAAGCAACATGGGCTCTGAGCATCCCTGCATGTCCTTGGTGAGTTTTGCTGAGCATGCGTGGTCCTGGCTGCTCTGATGCTGGGCCATTTCTCAGGGCTGTGATTGCAGTGAGCAAACTTGGGGCATGAGTGAGACTCTAGACCAAAAAAGAAACTGTCTCACTGCTCACGGTGTCAGGGCTGGCTCTCCCAAGCTTCGCATTCCTCAGCTGTGGTAGAAACCCACTAGAGGGAAAGCATCCACCTGAGCCTTTCCCTGTCACCCCTCCCCCTCAGGATGTGGGGGACAAGGATAACTGACAGAACACCAGGGTCATACTGCCTTCTGTATTGTATGGAAGTCCTTTGTCTCTGATCCAGGAGATTCCGATCTTCTGTCAGCATCTTCAAAATAGCAACCATGCTAGGAGCTTGTTGGCTGCAAGCTAACTCAATTGGCTAATTTGAAAACAGGGTAAAAATCTCAGATCTTGACAAGTAGCTGCTTTGCTCTGTCCTTATCTCCCAGTCTTCTGGGGGGAAAGAGGTCCTGGGTACCTAGCTGTTCATAGTAATTATTGCAATTTGCTTCATAGTGATAATTGACCAATGTATAGAAAATCCGATGTTTACAAAGCAACTGACCATAGAATTCTGACACTAACCCTTTGAGGTCAATGTCATTATCCCCATTTCATAAATGAGGAAGCTGAGATTCAGTGAGATTAGACAATAGCCAAGGGCACTCAGCTGGTATGTGGCAGCATAGGGACTTTGACCCTGGCACTGAGAGTCCAAATCCTGTGTTCCTTCCTCTCGGCTTTCAAGGTGGGTGAGAGAGGACAGGAGGGAGGGTACCCTGTGAAGTGGGCAGGGGGTGGGGCAGTGAACTTGGGTGGAGTGAGCGAAGGAATAGGCATTCACTGTATAACCCTCAGAGGCACCTGAAGGCCGTTTTGATGGACACCCCTTCTCCCCCTCCCACCTTGGCCAGCCTTTCCCTTCTGATCTGAAGTCAAGGTCCTAGCTCCTAGCATGCTGGGATTTTCTCAACAGCCCTCACTCTGTCTCTGGAACTTTCCTTAGTTCCTGCTTCGATTTTGTGCCTCCAACTGAATCATTTTCCTTTCCCTCAGTGCTTTTAGGATTTTAAAATAAGTGAACCTACAGTCATTTCCACCACAGGAAGCCAGGCAGCCTGGCTCCCCCTTGAGACTCAACCATTCACCAGCTCTGCCACCCCGGGCCAGTGATTGATGGAGGCACTAAGAGGGCCTGCCTCAGATGGGTGCCATGGGACTGAACAAGGCCATGCCACAGAGAGTCCAGCAGAGAACCTTCCATCACTGCCACGAGTATTATTCCCCCCTATCACAGGAATACCTTGCACATCATCATTCAAAGGACTCTGTGGGGCATCAAAGGAAAGAGAGATGAGAAGTAGGTGACAGGGTGTAAAGGAAAGAGAGATGTGGAAAGACAGAAACCAAGCTCTGGGCCCCAGAAAGCACCACTCACCGCAGAACCATCATGTAGAGGGGGTTGTGGGAGACGCAGGCTATCAGGGCCACAAAGGAGATGAGGAAGATGGTCGGGAGCAGGAAGTGGGCGCAGGGGATGGGGCACGACCCCGTCTTTGCTGAAGCAGATCCCCCCGTCACGCAGCTGCAGTTCAAATAGATCTTGAAGGGCAAGGGAGGACACAGCGGGGAGAGTTACCGTCAGGATCTCATCTCCGCGCACTTCAAACATCGGCACCAGCTCTTGCCAGAGAGCCCCTCTGGTTTGAACCCCTCTACCCTCCAGGGAAGAGGTTGAACTGGATTTGGAAGCTGAAGAGGAGACCAAGTAAGGTTCCAAGGTGCCCCAGGGAGTTCCGCTTCTCTGGATGTCTGGGCCACAGGAGCCATCTTCAGCAAAGCCAGCATCTGAGTGTGGGCTGGCCTCCCACAGTTACACTCACATTCAGATGCCCAAGATCCACCACCAGGCTTTGTGTGTTTACCGCAGGGGAAGGTATCAACAGCAGGGAAGTGGGAACACACGGAATCGCCTGAGCTCTGCATCTCTTAGGCCTTTGCAGAAGCTTCCTGCCTGCTAGGAATTCTCTCTGCCCATAAAGGACTCTAGAAGAGGTCCTCGTCCCAAGTCTGCAAGTCTATAGGGCTCAATCGTGTTACACAACTCAACTTTGGTGGCCACTACTTGTCTGATGGTCTTCACCTTCCTTCCTGCAGTGGCTGATGGCCCAACCCCTGACCTTGTGTTACAGCAGTTAAGGGGCCACTATTGGAACTAACGAACTGGTATGCTTTCCCCGCCGCACAGCGGAAATGACGTACCCTCTTTACCTTGGCTCCTAGGAAGCTCAGAAATATGTTATATATCATGTTGTAATATTTTTTAAAACGTATGACTTTTTCCTTTATACTTCCCAATATTTTCCTTTAGTATATTTTTAAAATATAGGGTTTTTCCCCCCTTTTAATTTGCTATTTTTCCCCTTGATACTATGCTAATGGATTTTTTTTTTATCTTGATTGTACTTATGCTGTTATTGGAAACTTTTCAAGATTATTTCTGGAAGTAGATGAGTCAGAGGTAAGTAAATAAAGATAAGGAAACCACAAAAGCCACTGCAGACTCCTCCAAGTTGAAGGCAGGTGAGGGAGCATCTTGTCCAAGCCCCTTGTCCTCCCTATATCTAAGAACCATGTTCCTTTGCCCATCGAGACAGCTGGGAAGCAGCCTAACTCTGTCCCCCCAGAGGATGGTAAGCGGGGGCCTGCCAGGCCCATGCCCTCCACAGAGGAAGCAGGCCCACTCCTTTCCTTAGGAATCCTTTTGTAACAGTGGAGACTTCCATTGCTCTTAAGAGAAAGAACATCTAAGTGCTAAGCCTGACCTGCCCAACTCTGGCTCTTCCTGCTCCCTGGCCCAGCGGGGCATGACACTCCCCTGCCCTTTCTCTGCCCCTAACTGCCCAGCCTGTCCAGTGCATTCACGCCTGGGGCCATTTTGCACCTGCTGTTCCCCCTACCTGCAATGCTCCCATGATTCCCAGGTTTTCATAGGTTCTCTTTTGCTGCCTACTCAGTTTTAACCAATGCCACCTTCTTAGGGAAGTCCCCAGGCACCCTCTGACCCACTAAGTCTCTCCTCGGCATGAGTTATTGTCTAAAACTCTCTTGTGTCTTTATGGAACAGATGCAAAGTCCAGGAGGGCAGGGACCTTGTCTTCAGTACCTGTGGCCGTGCCCAGAGTCCACTATTTGTTGAATAATGACACAAATGACTTAAGTTGGTTTGCTATTAGCTGATCCTGAAAGGCCCGGAGCGACAGTGCTGAGTGACCTTGTTGGACCTGGGTCTATCTCTAGCTGACTTTTAGGTTGTTGGCATCTGGTCATGACCTCTAGGACAGGGGAGGAGGAGAGAGGGCTGGCAGGGCCCAGAGAGGCTAGGAGGCTGACAATGAGTCCCAGAGCCCGGGATGGGTCTGCATGGGAGCACATTGAGCCCTAAGATCCTGTGGGGGCTGTGCCTGTCCCTGGGGACCCCAGCTGTCCTTACCACTTGCTTGGAGCCTACAGAGCTCATGTTGATGCCGCTGCAGCCGGCATGGCAAGGAGAGATGTATTCAATCCCATTGTCTCCGCAGACAGGATGGAAGATGGAATCCGGGCACGAGCAGTCCCTGCGGCAGGCCAGAGGCTGCGGACGTATAGAACTTGATGTGCTGCCAGCAAAACAGGAAACGAGGAATCAAACAAAGAAAGACCAAAGGGAAAAAAAAAAAAAAGAAAAGAACAACTCTACACTCCAGCCCAATGTGAGTTCCTGGCCTGCTTAGTGTGCCTGTGCGTCTCTGTTTGTCTTGGGTCAGTGCCACCCTGGGATCTGAATTATACCTATGGGAGCCAAAAGTGAATCTGCCACTGTTGGAGGGGTCACGACATCTCCATTTCTTCTGACATTTGGAGCCCAAACCCACAATTACACAGTTGGAGAGGTCTGGTCAGCAAACCCCCTACAGTAGGAGTCAAAATAACCAAGGAGCTAAGACTCGGAGGAGAGAAACAGCAGCTGTAAGAGGAACATCGCAGGTAGCTTTTGCTCTCCTCCTCTTCCAGCTGGATTCGGGCTGACGGCAGTGACTGGGACCCTTGGAGGTAACTGGGGCTCTTGTCGGCTGCCTGTTCTCTGGGTCAACCTGGGCATTGCTCAGGTCTCTGCATCCCCTGAACTCCAATCAGGGGGCTCTCACAGTCTGATCTTATGTTCCCGTCCTGACTCGGGTCTGGTATTCATGATCTTCTTTGGGGAGGGTGGAAAAACTGCAGTCCAGAGCTTCATTAAAATAATAATACTAATGATAGTTACAGTTTAGGAGGCATCTCTCAAGTGCCGGGCGCAGTGCCCGGGTGCTTTTCATGTAGTCATGACAGTCAATCTACCATTAACGGCTCACCTTTGATGACGGATGAAGAAACTGAAGCTGAGATAAGTAACTTCCCCCAACTAGGAAAGGGCACCATGAGTGGCTTTCAGGCCAGTCTGATGGCAAAGCCATGTGCTAACCTTCCAGTGAAAATCCCCAAGGGGCTCAAAGGTTTCTGGGCTTCTCTCCACCCACCGTCAGCCTGCAGAAAAGAACTTCATTGCACACCCAGAGCCACCCTCCCATCCCTTATGGGGCTCTCCTTCCCCTACCAAAGACAAGAGGTAATTTCAAAGGGAAAGTGGAAACACCGCAGCTGAAAGGTTTAGCATCTTCAAATCTTGCAAAATCCAGAAGAAAAGGCCAGGTGGCGTAGGACAAAACAGACACTCTCCTTGCCTAGCATCCTGCCTCTCCCGGGGCTCTAAAGCCCCTCCCGAACATGAAGCCAGACTCCAAAACTACGACCCATATTGCTTTACAAAAACTGACAGATATGCCTCTCCTGCCCTCCTCCTCACCTGTCCTGATTTTTCAAGTGTGCCATCTCTTTTATCGTTCTTCTCCAGATCTTTTCAAATCTCCTCTTATCTTTCTTCAGCTGTTCAATGAGACTCTGTAATTCTGATGCTAAAGATAGCTTATTTCCTGGTTCCTGGGGCTCAGGTTGGTCCTGAAACCAAACTAATTAGTTTTGGGCGCTTCTTAAAAAGCAGAACCCTAACCCTGACTGCTGGTGGCCCACTAGGACCCTTTGATCATGTCTCATAGCGGAACGTGTATTTATGGCCTGATTTTCTAAGTTCCCGTGTGAGAGATCAAATCAAAAGTGAACAGGAGAGAGGACAGGAGAGGGAGCAGAAAAGAAGCCCTACGACAGTCAGATTCAGGCCCTGGCTTCAGCAAAGGATATCTCTGCACACTTTATTCCCCTTACCTAGGAGGGTAGACCTCGGCCACAGTGGGGGTGGAGCATCCCATGAAGAAGAGAGGGGCACAGAGGATCATGGAGATGGTGATGATGGTGGCAGCCACACGGGGGATGGTTTGCAGAGAGAAAACAAAACGCTTCATGAGGATCCCTCCAAACAGCATCCCTAAGGCGGCCGCGGGGAGGTTTACGGCACCTGCAGGGGAGAGACAGAGCTGGTCTGTGTGCTGGGCCTGGGAGCTCTGAGCTGGACCCCCAGGAAGGGAGCATGGCTTCAGGGTGAAACACTGGACATGTTAAATTACCATAGTAATTGCTGACATTAATTAAGCACTTCTTGTTTGCCAGGCATATCTAGAGAGTTATCTTCACTAAAGCATTATCCTGCCTGTGCCAAAAATAAAGTGCCACCTTTGCAACCCAAGGGATGTGCATTTATTAAGCACCTTTCCCTACCTGTGAAGGAAAAAAACCAGGAGGCGCCGTATCTGCCTCCACTGCCAAGTCCATCTTCTCTCCTCTCTCTCTCTCTCTCTCTCTCTCTCTCTCTCTCTCTCTGCTGTCCCTGATGATGTCAGCTGGGAGGCTGTCAGACTTCCAGCCCCTGAACAGGGAGGAAGGCAGCCCCCAGCCTCCACCCACTCCTGACTGGAATAATGAGAGTCCCAGAAACCTGCCAAGAACATTCTAGATTGCCAACCAGGAAAAATGTCCTTAAAATGCTCTCTCCTGGGCAAGTCCTCCTGTCTCCTGTCTGTGTCCGGTCTGGTCTCTCCCTCAGCCGGAGCGGCCCCAGGCCTGCAGCCCGCTCTGGACTAACCAATGAGAAAGTTGGCATAGGCCGCGGAAGCGCCATACTGCTTCTCCAGGAACTTGTTGAGGAACGTGGAAAGTCCGGCGATGACGGAGGAGAAGGTGCACTGGGCCAGGACCACGAGCATGAAGAGTGGGTTCATCAGGAGCCTCATGAAGATGCGGGGGAACCCTGCAAGCAGACTGTTGTCAGGGCCCAGGCGACCTCGAGACCAGCCAACCATCCTGCTCTGAGGAACCAAGAGTGCAGGACCAGTCTAGGGCCACACAGCCACGGGGGCTCCCACAGGACATGCTCTAGGGCTAAAGCCAGGCTGTGTCTAAAAGAAATCTGGGATTAACACGGAAAACTGTCTCCTCCCACGACTGCCACCTCCACATGCAGGGAGGAGGGACAGGACGCGGGGGTCAGACTTCACAGTGCAGTACAAACTGCCTCTGCCTACAGACCACCTGCTTTTAATGTCCCTGACAACACACCTGACCACCTCCCCCACAACCACCCAGAGCCAGCCCACCCAGGGCAGCGGGGGTTGTCAGTTACGTTTAATGAAATCCATGAGGGAGCCTCTGGACCTGGCTTCTTCCAACTTCCTCGCCTCATCGACTATGGCAGGAGACCTCTGGAGGCAGCAAAAGGGGTGAGCATTAATGGCCCTTCACAGAGCCCCTGGTCTCAGTGGCTCAAGGCTGGTGTGTGTCTGAGAAAGTATCAGAGCATGTGCCCCTGAAGCAAACACCACCTGTGCTTCAGAGAGCCTGGGGCCTTGACCGCAGTGCATCTGCGCCAAGGTCTCTCCTGATACCTATGGCCACATTATTTCATGTCTAACTTTCCCATGACCAATGCCAAAGGTGTCTTCCTGGATCCCAGCCCTTGTCTATATGTCATGGCTACACTTCTCCCCTATGCTCAGATTTCAGGGGCTGCCAGCTTGTAGGACACAGGGATCTAGAATGTCCCCTGTTTTCAGATCTCCGTCTCGTTCTCCTCTGTGGGGTCCCTGCTTCCTCCTGGGCCCAAAGGGCAGTCCTGCTCCAGGCTCTGGCTCTGTCCCTGCACTTTGCCTGCACCTTCTGGGAACCCAACTCCGTGAACTTGCCTCTTCTGAATGCAGCAGCCCTGCCCAAGGCCCCAGTTCCAAACCACTGCAGATGCAGGCCCCTGAGTGCTGTCACTATTAGGGTCCTAAAGGGGATTGCGTCACCAGTGACAGATGCTCCCATCCACTGCAATGTCTGGCTCCTCACCACTTCCTTCCCAGGTAGGTAGTCTAATTATCTTGAGTATTTTAATGAAGAGGAAGCTTTGGTACAAAGCAACTTGCCCAAGATCAACTGGCCAGTTTATAAGCAGCAGAGTTCTGCTCAAACTCAGATCTGTCTGATCCCCAATCCACCAGGACATGCTGCCAACCTCAGGAATTCTTCCCCAGTCCAAGACAAGGTCCTCCTCCCTTGCCCCTCTTCCCACAGATGGGCCCAGATCTCACACGCCTCATTGCCAAACATGGAGCTCCATATCTGGCTCAAAATCTGGGCACAAACACAATCTCCTTCTTCTCCAACCAGATCTCTGCTGAGTCCTTCTCAGGACCCCTCAAGGAATGTCTAGCTTTGCCCTTGTCCCAGCGCCCTGACCGCCACCGCCTGATCCTCAGTGCATTCTCCCTCTCTCACCTGTGCCTCTTCAAACTCCAGATTTCATTCCATCCTGCCTCCCCAGCCTCAGTCTACCTGCCACATTGCCACTCAAGTGGTCACCCAGTCACTGAAGTGCCCAGACAAGTTCAGAACAAGTTTTGGGCCCTCAGCCTCACGTCCTCCCCCCAGTCTTCTCTTCCCTGTCCTCTGTTCTCACCCTCCCTGGATTTCTGTCCCCAGCACATCTGACCAGCAGATGCATAGATGGTCACCAGTTTAAGTGAACTCAGTGTTTTCCAGACCTTGGAACTCTCATGATTTTTGAGATGCCAATATGGTAAAGGAACATGAATGAAGAGGCTAGACGTCCACCAGTCCCTTCACCCCTCAAAGCCCCTAAGATGCTCTACGTCATTGAACTTCTTCCCGTTTCACCCAGAATTTGCTTAGCCCACTGCTGCTTCTCAGCTCTTTTTTCTTTTTCCACACCTGCATCTCTTTCTTAAACTCCTATTGGTAGAGCTGTGGCCTCCAACAACTTACCTCTTTTCCTCTGGACATTGTTCGAGGAAAGAAAAAGAAGGGGAAAGAGGTGAGAACCAAGAAGCCTGAAGAAATGAGCAGGCCCAGCCACCAGGCTCCAATCCATCGAGGGTCACCTGGGCTCAAGTTAACTGCAGCTGAAGAGAAACCAAAGAATACAGGTGTTTGTTGAATAAACGCATCAGCTCACCTTACTGGACAAAGAAACTCTATTCAGGGTTTTTTTTTGTTTTTGTTTTTCCTTTTTATTATTTTTAACTTTTTTCCTCATAGGACAAGCCTGGAGACAGAGCCAGAACCTGGGTCTGGAGATTTCCTTTCCAGGTCATTCTGCTCTTGCCAAAGAACCGAGGACACTGCACATGAAGCTGAACAGCAGAAAAGCCCCAGGCTGAAGGGAGCAGTCCCTTCCCCTCACTGGATTTTATTCCCAGCTCATCTGGGGGTGTCTATGAAGTAGGAGTTACATCCATTCACCTCTAACCTATCAGAAAACTGGAGTTTGAGAGGTTGAGTCCCTCGTCCAAGGTTAAAGTCAGTGAGTATCATCTCATGGGTCAATTTCAAACCTAAGTCTTCCTGGTGACCAAGGTGTACAAACCTTAACCATGAGCCATCTTAATCTTAACCACTGAACTCTACCACACCCCAGCTTTATTACTCCCTAAATAAAGGAGGCCCCATAATGCTTAGGAGCTAGAGGAAGCAGCCATCAACAGCGTGGCTGGCCTGGCCCCCAAGGGAGAAGCTCCTCCTGCAGTTCTCCACATCTAGAAGTCTGCCGTTGTGTTTCTGAAGGAGAAGGTGGCAGAATGGCTCACAGTCACACGACGACAAGCATTCCTGGGCACTGATCTGGGTACGCAGGGAGCTCAGTTGCTGGTTTCTTTGGACAGCCAAGTATCAATCAGCTCAGGAAGGGCCAGCAAAGGGCACAGATGGCTCGATCCAGAGGCACAAAACTCCCCTTGGTTCGCCACTTCCTCTTGATGTACAGGCAGATGACACTGTGGTCTGACAGCCCCTACGGATAGTCATCTAGGCTCTGGCAGCACGGGTGTGTTTAGCACCTGCCCAGTTCTCTCTGAGATGGACAGGCCTTGCCCTGGGTGAATGGGCACTGATGTTGCGGGGGGTGTCCTTCCTGCGGGTCTGACTCGGTCCTACCTCCCAGTACCTTTGGCGAGTGGGAACTTCCCATACCACCCCCCACCTTGCACTCCCTACTCTTTCCACCCTCTTGGCTCTGATGGGGGGGTTTCATCCACCTGGGAAGGCCTTCCTTCTCGTGACTACCGTGCAAATGTCCCACCCACCCACCATGGCTCCATGCAGATATCATCTCCCTAGAAAGCCCTCCCCAGTTGTCTCATGCAGGAGCTCTCTTGCCTTTGAACTTGGAAAGCACTTTGCCCATCTCTCTTCCACCCTTCCCTGTCTTGCAGAAGGCTCATTGGGGTAGAGTATGCCCACAAAGGCAAGAATCCCTGGCTGGACGCATGCTGAGGCTGGCTTCCTGAGTCCTGGTGTTCATGTCTTTGGACTTTACTTTCTTATTTAAGATATCCGTGACTTAGTCTATACCATTTTTTTTTTTAAATGCAAGCTCACATCTGCTGATCTCTTAATATCTATCAGACTCACTCTAATCTTTAGAAGAACTCTCCTACTATTATTGCCCAATTTTACGATGAATAAACTGAAGCACAGCAAGGTGGAGTTATTTGCCTAAGATCACTCAGCTAGGAACAGGTGGAAACAGGATGAGACACAAAACTAGGGCCCACCGGTAAAACACCATGTCACGTTCTTCTGGATGTGTGTCATTATCATAGGAATATCTTGGGCAATTTTTCTTTTTTCCTTCAACAGAGTTCTTATCAAATATTTTGCTTTTAAGCAATAAAGCAACTTCTGAAAATCAAACAACCCGAGAAGTCTTTTTCATGCCACCACCAAGATGGGCAGGTGAGGTGATAACAGGTGGGGTCCTGCCTTGGGGTTCAAGGTTTCCTACTTGAGTGCAAAAAGTGTGTTTGCTTTGGCAGCTCGTTACCCACAAGATCTGGCAGGGGCCCTGGTGAGCACAGGAACAGGCTCTGCTCCTGGCTGTCAGAGGGACTTCAGGAGTGGGGGAGTGGAGTGTGAGGTGGCCATGAGCAACTGAGGTGAAGCCTCATTCCCTTCCCTGATTGATGGGAGGGTGATGGGATGCTCCATGGAACAGGTAATGAGGATGGGTGTCTTCTGCACATGCTTACCTGTGTCAACCCTGCCGTAGTCCACAAAGATCTGCAGCATGACAGAGCCCAGCAGGTACCCGAAAGCCGGTCCAAATACAGCTATGGCAAACAAGATGGCTGGAAATGGAAGCAAAGGAAAAGAGTTTGAGAGGGGCTCAGAGGGTTTGGCAGCCCTAGGCTTCCAAGCCCAGGGGGATACCTGAGATGTCACCATCTGTCCTCTGGACCTAACAAGCCCACACTATCTCCCACTGATAGACCACTCGAGATGCCAAGACACACAGAACCAAATGGGTTTCTCCTCCAGCCAACTACCAGAGACCTGCTGTCCAGGAAGGAAAATGGTCTTAGCATTTTAAAAATGACAGCCTGTGTGTTGATGGGGGGCACTCCCTGCAGGTGACAGTGCTGGTCACCCTGGCAGGAGCTTGAGGGGTCTGGAGCCTGTGGGTGTGGTGTGTCTGGTCTGGGTTATGGGTCTCCAGGAGCTCACTGTGGCTTGCTCCAAGGGAAGGATCTGGGCATGCAGAGGGTCACTTGCTATCTGTTTTCTATGTGCTTGTTTGAGGTCAACCTGCCTCTAAGTGGATAGCTCAGAGGACACATGTGCCTGGACTATGCCTGGAGGACTGGACAGTGATAAAGCTGCTGTTGATTCAGCATTGATAGTCTGCACTCATTTGCTGTGTTCTGGCCAAAGTCAGACCTCATTTCAGTCCCAGGACCTTGGCAAGTGCTCCAGCCAGGCCTGACTCTCCCCACAGCCCTCTTCAAGCCCAGGACTCACAGATATACAGGGGTGAGTTGTTGGGTTCTGCAAAGTCATCCACATAGGAGATCCCAAAAGGCTGAATGGGCACCGTCCCGATGCCGGCCAGCAGCTGGGCCATCACCATCAGGCTCCACATGCTGCTGGTCTCCTTCCGAGTGTCCTGCATGGTGCTTTGGCACTTAGTAGGGGGCAGGTCCTGCCAGTGCTTCTGACAGAGATCATGTTGGAAGCTGCTGCTGTTCCCTGTAAGGAGAAGCTCTGGTCACCACAACTGGATCCACCAGCTGACCTCTAATCCTGGCCTTTCTCCCACAACGTTGGGGAAGAACCAAACCAGGGCCAGAGGCCGTGCTGGCAGAGAGAACATGGCTCCCAAGAATCACTCTTTCTGTTTAGCTGGCAGAAGGGACTCTAGAGACAAAGGTGAGAGAAAGGTAGAATGTGGGGCCCATTCCAGGAGGAAGAGGGAGCTGCTTCTCATGGTGTCCATGCTTCCTCCCGGGGTGGTGATGAACAGCTGAGCATGGTCAGTACCCAAAGGGTCACCCACCTGGAAAAGGGGAACCCATGATCAAAGCTCTAGCTTGTTGGCCTGCAGATCTGGGTCCCCAACATTCTCTTCACCAGGACAGAGGTCATTCTGTCCCACAGAAGACAGGGTCCCCTTCAGCCTTGATTGTGTCCCGCCTGGGTCATGACCTCTAGAGCTTTCACTCCTTAATGAGCCCAGCTTCAGGTCATACTGGAGGACCTACTGCCAAAGACATTAAGTGACCTTGCCCCAAAACCACAGACCTTTGTAAGCTAAAGGGACTGTGAGACCTTCTAGTGCAATTTCTTGTATCATAGAAGGGGAAGCTGAGGCTGCACCAAAGGAGCTAGGCTGCACTTGGGGTCCTTGTGGGAGGGCCTCCGTGTGGCCTGTGGGTACTGTAGTTCCTGTGACTATGGATCTGGCCAAGCTGGGCAGTGCTTCTATGCCTCTGTTCTTTTTTGGGAGGTGTGGGAGGTACCGGGGTTGAACTCAGGGGCACTCAACCACTGAGCCACACCCCCAGCCCTATTTTGTATTTTATTCAGAGACAGGGTCTCACTGAGTTGCTTAGCACCTTGCCATTGCTGAGGCTGGTTTTGAACTCACAATTCTCCTGTATCAGCCTCCTGAGCCCCTGGGATTATAGGAGTGTACAATTGAGCCCAGTTTATGCCTCTGTTCTTAATTGGGCCCATACTAAGCAATCAATATTGTATCCCCAAGTCCTTGAGAGTTTTGAGGGGCTCCTTTCTACAAGACCCCTTTAATTCCTGCCCTCTTCTGGCCAATGGAAATCACTGACATCATGGATCTGAATAACACTAATGGGATTCAGCTTGGTCTCATTTGCAGTACTCCCAGAATGGGTGTAGCCCAGATCTGGGAGGGCTTCAAAGTCCCATGGAGAAGATAAGTGAGGGCCACGGACTAGATCTGCTTCCATATTGGATTCTCCTCAGCTCAGGGCTGTCCCGGAATATTGTGACTGGGACTGTGGGGGTCTTCCCTCCTTCTCCTCTCCCACATATGCCTCATCCAGCGTGGCCCCACCACTGCCTGTCTCTACCCTGGTATATGAGATGAGACTTGCTTGAAAATTGCTGGCCCGGGGGGCTCCGATAGGGCATTGAGGGCAGTCCCAGGAAAAGCAAAGCTGAGCAGGCCTTCTGTTTTGGTCAAGATCATCTAGACCCTGTACCATCCGTGGGCAGGAAACTGAGCACCCTGGCAAGATGCCAGTCCCCAGACATCGGATAGTGTTCCTCTGTACCTTCCTCCTCCATTGCATTCCCATTATCCCACTTTCCAATGAAGAATTCAAGCAGTGGTCTAACTCCAGGATGAAATAATAGACAGCCTCGTAGACCCAGAGATAGGATATAGCTTATTAACTTGGAAAGACACTACAATATCTGGTTAAGCCCCCAAACTAACTAGTAGTAGTTTGAAGAAGAATATGATCCCTAACTTATAAAACTTGTGTGCACTACCTGAATATGGAGTCAAAACCTTTGGAAGACCATGAGCTCTCTTCTATGTGATGGGATAAATCCATCTGTTTGGTCTGCCTCAGTTTATTTTCTCATTTTTCTTCAATGAACACATGATGATTTTTAAATCAAGCATGCACATGCACACACACACACACACACTTTAAATTTAAAAAGGTTTTCATAAATGAACATGCTCCAAATTTAACAATGGCTCCCTCATTTCTTGGGTCATTTTCATTGCACTTCTTCCTGATGTTGGCCCTAGGCCTGCACAGGTGTGGGCTGACTTTCTGCACCCATCCTCCCCACTTGTCACCTCCTCTTCCCTGGGGGAGGGTGAGCCTTTCTCCCCTGGTACAGACTTTACTGTAGAGACTCAAGTTCCAGCACCAGGGTTTTTAAACCTCCCTGGACAGGCTGAGCCAGACACTGTCCTCAGTCTGTGATATACATTGTCTCCTGCTCACAGATGTTCTTGACCTACCTAAGGTGGCTGGTTTGGGGCAGAGTTGGAATTTGATTCTGCAGGTATCTGACTCAAAGTCCAAACTGAAACCAAGTCTGAAAGGTAGCTTTGAAGACGGAGCACACATATTTCAGGGATGGGAGCAAAAGGCTTGGGGAGAAGTCCTCATTCCCTGGTCACATTCAAACATAAGAGGTCTTTGACCTCTGAAAGTACCTGGAACCTTATACCTACTTCCTCTCAGGCAGAGGTGTCCTAGAAGGGGGTTGGCTGTTGGCAGGAAGAAATTTGGCAATGAGATACAATAAATACACAGCATAGGGAGTTAAGAAATTGATTATACTTAGGTAGCTAGGTAATCTTCAGCAAATTTCTAAACCTCTCTGAGCCTTAGTTTCCCTTGGAGTAGAGACCATAAGGTAGCTCTATAAAGGGATTGCATGAGGGACCATTAAGACCTAGAAGGCTATGGTTCCAGAAAGAGGCCTGGGCATATGAAGTTGAAATTGCCAGTCAGTAAGAAGGCCTGGTGTCTGTATCTGCACCTCTGAAGGAAGGCTGGGGTGGCTCAGCAATGCTGCAAGGTTCCCATCCTCAGGACAGTCACTTTAGTCTAGAAGCACATGATTATAAAGTGCTTCTGCTGAGATAGAGCTCCAGGGGCTGTCTGATCCACCCCCACCCCACTCAGGAATCCTTCCACCAACACTGACTGATATCCAACACCCAGATCTGGGAATGGTGCTGGCAGGTCCCCAGGGGGAAGTCCTAATGGTTGTGGGCAAGCAAGGCCAACAGATGTTGGAAGGACTGTACTAGGAGCCTAGGATGTGGGTTCTGGTCTTGAATCTGTGACTTCATAGGCCAGCAATTTTGACTTAGAAAGGCCTTGGAAGGTTCTAGGGAGAGGCCAAGCACAGCAGAAGGGGGGAGGTTGCTGTTGAGCCAGATGGGCAGAGGAGGTTCACACTCCTGGGCTGTCCTCAGTGCATCAGTCTCACAGGCACCCCTAGGCTGCTGGCCCAAGGTGAGGGGTTATTCCTTACCACAGGCTGTGCTAGTCCTTACAATGAATGGCAAGTACCATGGCTTCTATGCCCTTTTCAACACCAAATGTGCATAGGCAGGACTGAGGACCGAGCAGGCTGCCCGGCCTGGGAAGGGCTCAGGTATTTAACACAAACCCACCTGACCCAGCGTAGCCAAATGGCCCAACACAGCTGCATGTCACTCAAATCAGCTGGCATGAACACTCCTCTGCTCACTCCCCTGCACCAGCTTTGACCAAATCAATGAATTCTAAAGAGCCAGCATATATACTTTGGGTCTATAAATAAATGGGCTGCTGCCAAGTTTTTAAATGAGTATTTATTTCCAAATATTAAAAAAACTTTTCAGGTATATTTTATATGAGGAAATGAGCAAAATCAGAGTTCCCTAAAACCTCAGGCTGTTGTCAATTGAAAGTGTGTTTGGCTGAGCCACCCTTGGTGTGACAATAGCTCTCTGTGGCGTGTTGCCTCAGAGGCTAATGGGGTGTCAGGACCAGATCTAAATTGTATTCAAGAATAGTTTAAGGTCAAATAATGTTATGGGTGTCCCCCAAATCTCCTGTGTTACTGTAGGAGGTGAAGTGGTTGATTTGTGAGAGCTATAACCTAATCAGTGAATCCTAATTTGAATGGACTAGGTGGTTGATAACTAGTGCAGGTGGAGCATGGCTGGAAGCAGCAAGTCACTGGGGGTGTGCCTTTGGAGATTATATCTAGTTCCTTGGCTCCTCTTTCTCTCTCTGCTTTCCAGCTGACATAAGCTAAGCAGTTTTTTCCACCACACCCTTGTGCCATGGTGTCCTGCCTCATCTCAGGCTCACAGCACCGGAGTCTGCCAATTATGGACTGAACCCCTGGAACCGTGAGCTCAAAATAAACTTTTTCTTCTCTAAGTTGTGTAGTTTGGCCAACAGAGATGAAAAAGTGACTAATACGAATGATAATACTGAGAGAGGGGTTCAAAGAATTGGCTCCGAATCCCAGCTCAGCCACTGAAAGAAAGACTGTGCCTAGGTTCAAGCACCTGTCCCCTCAGCTGCAATATGGATGATGCCTGCTTCGCAGGCATAAAGGGGGAGTGCTGAGTCCTGAAAAAACACCTGGACCAATATCCATTCATTTTTCAGTCATTCAGTAATTTTTTCCAATAGTGACTGGGTGGACCTTCTGCTTGAGTGGGAGATATGAAGGTGATGGAGAGGCCCAGGCACTTTTTGTACAAAAACATTTCAGTCTATTATGGTAGGCAGATCTTAAAAAAACAACATGGGACAAAATTAGAAAAGACAAAAAAAATCAAATTATCACTGTTGGCAGATGATATGATCCTACGCTTAGAAGATCCAAAAAGCTCCACCAGAACACTCCTAGAGCTAATAAACAAATTCTGCAAAGTAGCAGGTTACAAAATCAACAAACAAAAATCAATAGCTTTCCTATACATCAGTAATGAATCTACTGAGAAAGAAATCAGGAAAACAATCCTATTTACAATATCCTAAAAAAAAAAAAAAATACCTAACCAAGGAGATGAAGACCTCTATAATGAAGAAAGAAATTGAAAACACAAGAAAATGGAAAGACTTCCCATATTCATAGGCAGAATTAATATTGGTAAAATAGCCATATTACCAAAAGCAATATACAGAGTCAATGAAATCCCCATCAAAATACAAATGAAATTCTTCATAAAAATA